GGGAGAATCGACTTCAGCAGCTTTGAATCCATGTTCTTGCATTTGTCCCCAAGGACAGCTTTCACCCGTGTCTCGAACTCAGTTATTGTTAGGTCAACCTTTTCGTACATAGCGCTATCTGATAGCAATGTGTCTGCCTTCTCCAGATAGAGCGTTTGTTTCATTGCGACTAACTTTTTACTTTTGTCTGACGGTTTGATGACTGTGCTTGTGTCCTTGCGGAGTCTGGCCAGCTCCTCTCGTTCCTCCTTGGTCATATTAGACGTCGATGGCCTGTATTTGGTGTAAGCAGCGAGAACGTTGTCCTTGAAATTCGCAAGCTTCCTTTCTTCATCGTCACACATTTTCGGCGGTTGTTTAAACCCACGCTGCTTGAGCTTCCAGAGTTTTCTGTCGCCCACCGTGTCAGAAACAGTCTCGTTGTCTGGAACCTCCACCTCTTGAGGCTGGGCTTGCTGCCAGCGCAACGTGTAGGCCATCCGCTCGACAGACGTAATCACCTCCGAACGCTCGCGATCCGAAAACTTGCCTGTCGAAGGAACAAAGCTCGGCCCAAGCTCCAGAATCCGCCTGGTGCTGTCCGGCACACAATCATCCACAACCAATGCCCGCTGGACACTGGATCCATCACATGTCGCCGCACTACTGGTCCGCGCTCCAAGCTGGGCTTGTGATGCGGCTTGCGTAATTTCATGCTCTTGCTGGCCAGCTTCTGCACGAAGCTTGCCAAGCTTCCGGGCTAGCCTTGCATTCGTATCGATGCGCTCCTCTGTGGCTACGCAGCGCTTCACGGTACGGATCCTTATGAAGTCCTCCCGAGAGAATGACCAGAGCTTGTCCCGAAAGTGCGTGCTCTGTCTCAAGCGAAAGTCCTTCTCTGCACACTTGTCTTCTATGGCGTCGCTCAGAAGACGAAGGCAGTACTGTCGTCTTCTTATTTGGCGGACTTGCTTGTGCCTGGAAGACCTTGGCTGTCGGGTGCACTGGGTTATAAATCGCGGAATCAAGTTTTCCCTCCGGCATTGTAGCAAAAATGACAACTGACACTCGCTCCTTTGCAACTTCCACGCCCATTGCACATAGCGCCACGGTGCCTCGCTCCGGGAAGAGGAGAACCACGAACGAAGTAGATAATAGGAAGAAAATAATGCATCAGTGGGGTGAAATGTATCACTATGTTGACCATGGTGGAGAGCGGCGAGTTAAGCTAGCAAAAGAGGCGAGCGAGCCTACAACGTGGCATGACATTTAACATGGTCTATGAACTGTCTAATATTGGATATTGTCTTCATTTCCACGGGCAGCTTGAGCCAATACGAGTATGCAGAGAAGATAAGAGATTTGGTAAACATAGTTGACAAAGCTCTGGGAAGTACTATGCCATTGCGAGTGTCCCGTGCGAAAGTAAACCAATTATATTTGGTGAGATGTTCAGGGACAATGTTCAGTTTAATACAAAAGACCAGAACGCATGACTGTCTCTGCGACAGAATAGAGATGGGGCTGGTGGAGGCCAAACTATATAGATCAGTAGAGGGGAAAAGAGTTTATGATGTATTTCTAGTGTCTGTACAGCAGATTTACTAAGCAGGGAATGCCAAGCAGTGGCGCCGTACAGAAAGATAGGAAGGAGGTAGCATTTATAAAAGAGACGAATACATTCGGGGGACAAGTGGGAGCAGTGAGACATCAGGCAACCTACAGATTTGCTAACTTTGTTGCATACAAAATCTACGTGAGAATTCCAGGACAATTGCGAGTCAAATACAACACCCAAATGCCTGTGCGTATCTACAATATTAATATTAATAGCCGAATCAAATCCGGGAAGGGTAAATGTGGGAGAGTGGTCTAGTTGAGGGAGAAAGACTATTTCGGTTTTCAAGATATTGGGTTTCAGACGCCATGACAACATCCATTTGTGAACAACATTGATTCCATTCTGAAGCTTTGTACACAGGTTTGCAATGTCAGCGTCAAACTGAATGAGGGCTGTGTCATCAGCAAATAGTCACAAACCATCTATACAGTCAGGTAGATCGTTTATATACAACACGAATAGTAGAGGCGCCAGTATAGATCCCTGGGGGACTCCCGACTTCACAGGCAGTGGGTCTGAGAGTACCCCTTAGACTGACACTGATTGCGTTCTATGTGTTAGGTAGTCCGTAATCCACGCCAGAGACGCTCCGGAAACATTGTACATCGCAGATAGTTAAACTAGGAGTCCACGGAACCATACCGTGTCAAACGCCTTTGCTAGGTCGAAAAAACAGATACCAACATGTTTGTTGGTGGTCATGACGAAGGGCCACAATGTCCTGCACAAGGCGTGTCAGCTGCATGGTGGTTGAGTCTCCTCGTCGAAAACCAGATTGGACTGGGGCAAGGGCCGGCGACACATGAGCATAAAGCTTATCAAAGAATAATCGCTCACATAGTTTCGATACACAGGACAACAAGGAGATAGGACGGTAATTGCTGGCTTGTGACTTGGAGCCTTTGCTCTTGTAAACCGGAACAACCTTGGCGAGTTTCCATGCTGCTGGAAATTTACCCGTCAAAAAGGACACATTAAAAATACGGCAGAGGGTGTACGATATCGACGGGGCAAGTTTCTTCAGGACATCATTCGTAATGGAGTCTAAGCCAGGACTGCGGCGAGACTTTAGTCGGGCGATAGCCTTTCTAACATCCGCAGTTGTGGTGATGACCTGAACAAATGTTTCATGAAGTTGGCTGTGGGCACGAAGAGCTGGAAGGGATAACGACGGATCATCCGGCACAGCAACGGAGGCGAACTGCTGGTTGAGGACTGTAGCCTTGTCGGAACTGCCAGAAACTGGATGACCGCCTTCATCAATGATGTGAGGAAGGCCACGATCCTGCTGACGATTCCGCTGAGAACGAACAAACTGGAACATGTTAAGGTTACCTGACGCCATGCTGGCCTGTATAGATGCCAAATAGTCACGGTGAAGAGATCGAGATAAGTTTCGTACTCTGTTACGCTGAAGTTTGAAGGCAGACTGGTTAGCTGGGGTTGGGAACTTCCCATATCGGCTGTAGAGTTCGTACTTCAACTTAATGGCAAGTACTAAATCTCGATTAACCCATGGAGGATATTTCCTAGATACAGCTCGCTGGGTGGAGGAAGAGATTTTCCGATAAGGCGACAGGTAGTGGGAAAATGCATTATTCAAGGAAGAGGAGAATCTGGCTAATGCGTCGTCGACATCTGGTGTGTCCATGAGATCATACCAGTTGAGTGAGGAAAGGTACATATTTACTGAGGCCCTCGGCATTATATTATGAGCAGCGATAGTGAAGATGATGTCACTGATGTCAATGTCTCTTTAGAATCAAACTTTAGGACACTAGATCAATTTTTGAAAATCCCGATTTCTGGAGGAAATCGCAACATACATTTATTTGAAACTCGGATGTTGAGCCATAAATAAATGTGGAAGAGAAAAGGACATATGGATACGAGTTAAGAGTAACTCTCCATCACTGTAACATGATACTATATACAGTCAGAAAGTGCAATAACTAGGCACAAAACTGACAGAGTACTGAAACATTCGACGTCCTGACACCTAGCTTCAACGCATCTCCGTAGCGCTAACCGACAGCCTTCCAACTTGGAAGGTTCAAGGTTATGGAAAAGACCAAAGAGGGGGCCTTTCTTTACTTATCTTTGATATTTATGACCCACCCAAGTTGGGTGGTGTGCTGCTTTGCTGCTTCGAATTGTAGTTAGACCGCTTTGTCAAATATCGTACTGGTCTCGTCATCGTCCAGTAACAATCAACATTCTTTGTTCCGTTGGGACTGTGGCTTTTGCTCGTTTTCGTTGCGCTTGCCTTCCCCTCTTTGGTCTTTTCCATAACCTTGAACCTTCCAAGTTGGAAGGCTGTCGGTTAGCGCTACGGAGATGTGTTGAAGCTAGGTGTCAGGACGTCGAATGTTTCAGTACTCTGTCAGTTTTGTGCCTAGTTATTGCACTTTCTGACTGTATATAGTATCATGTTACAATGATGGAGAGTTACTCTTAACTCGTATCCATATGTCCTTTTCTCTTCCACATACATTTATTTATTTATTTATTTATTTCTGCACCTCGTGGCATGTCAAGACAGCCAATTGAATTGAGGAGAGGGTGAGACCAACCACGGAAGAAGAGAAAAAAAGAAAATGAAGAGCACGTACACAAAGTGGGAAGGGATTAGCAACTTAAAAAGCAATGGGATGCTCAGCGAGCTATGCAGCGGAAGTGGTGACTGTGACTTTGTTTACTGGGAGATACTGAAGTGCTGTCTGACGAGGGTACGGAATTTGGGCATATCTGGAGGGGGACATCTATTTTGAATTGACCATTCTGACCTCTATAATGGATATATGACGCAGAAACTTTGATTTTTGTTGCGTACTGATGTCTATGTCTCTTTAGAACCAAATTTTATGACACTAGATCAATTTGTGAAAATACCGATTTTTCGCCTGAAAATGGTAGGAATCCAGGTGGTTTGGGGTAGTCCTCAAAGGGTTAAGGAATAAATAATTGAACAAAAAGTACCCAAATGGTGAGCCAAGGTATTGTTTATTTAAATTGAACACAATGGGATACAAGTTATGCGTTACAGTCCACCAACTAAACCAGGTTTTGAGCAGTCAGACGTGCACAAGGTAGCACCAGGCAGACAAGGAGTACTGAGACATTCCAAAGCAAATAAAATCTTCATCCAGCGCATGCGCCAAGAGTGAATAGCAACTCAATAGACCTGGTAGCCAGTTGCCAGTTGACAAATCCCTTCTATTTACTACTGCTTGAAGTGAATAAAAGGAAAATGTTAGTACACTCGTACCTCGTTCATCTGGTTTATCAGTACCTTTGAAATGCCTGTATCTCCAAAATAACATGATCTGCCTTCTATGGGTATTGAGCGCTCTTCTGCCAATGAACAAACACTCTTCTTGATTATTTCTTTCATTGGCAGATATTCCCAGGTTTCTTATTGCTCCTAGACCGGCACGCATTGTCCAGAACTCGCTAAGAGCAACTTCGGTCACTCTCAATCTTCCATCACCGTCATACAAAGGAAATCTACCCGTCAAAAGTTACAAAGTCATTTGTAAACCAGATGCAGAGTACAGATCTTATGTGAAGGACACTGTTCAAAGTTTTCCACTCAATACTGTCACAATTATTGGACTTCAACCAGCCACCAAGTACACCTGCTGGTATCATGCAGAAAATGCTGCGGGTTCAAGTGGTCCAAGTCCCAGACTAAGACTGCAGACTCCCGAATCACGTAAGCTCGTACTACATTTTATTAATGTGCATTCAGTATTAAATCATGATCATCTCTTCAGATATTTCAGCATTAAATAATGATTATGTTTTTCTGAGATTCAAAGAATCATAGTTCTCCTGCTAGCCAGTTAAACGTTTGACTATCATTATCAGATTCTGACATCTCCCTCGTGATGCATAATACCAGTAAGAAGAAAGCAAGGGACATGCAAAAAGCGCAGGAAATACGAAGTGCACTTCTTTCAACTCAAGCTCGCACAAATATATTGGGTTGGGACATGTTCACACAACCGCCTCACCGGCACATCAACTAAACTGTACTGAAACAGAGCATGCGTAATTGCATTCTTCTTTACCGTGAATGTCGTTTTCTGAACTAATTTAGTCTGTGCATGTGTTATTTTTTATTCCTGATGATGGCCCAAAATAGCTTACACATTTTCTTACATTGCAGTTCACAAACGATTATGTTGTCTAGTTTTTAATGAGTATGGTTCAGAAAGTATTTCTGGGAAGATATTTTAAACAAACTCAATATTAGTAGAAAGTGTGTGATTAAAGGAACAACTTTTTCGGAGGTAAAAGCTTCAATACAGCAATAACTCTCTGTGAACACGTGTTTTGAAGACAGAAACTTTAATATCGCACCCAAGCGGACAAACTGTGCGGTAACCATAATATATTATGACTACAGAAACGAAACTCTCGGTAAGCACTCCATTCACATGCATGATTATAGAAGGGAAATGAGTGAAGAACACACAACGATGCTTTATTTCAGAACAGTGTTCTTGGTCGCCAGTGCCACAACACAACAGTCTAAATTAAAATACTAAAAATTTGGAGGCCATGGGCGGGTCTCCTTCCGGTGTTTGCTCACTGTTCAGGCCCATCTCAGATCTGACCACTTCCCTCTATTGTAACAACTTCTTGAGCCGTGGAATAGATACTTTTAAAATGGGAGTAGATAGCAGGGTATGTATAGCAGGGTATGTATAGCAGGGTATGTATAAGGGAGAGAATAGGTGATAATTATCACGATGGAAGTGTAGATAATGTAAGTGCGGGAATATGATGTGAATTGAAGTGTGAGTGTAAGTGTCAACTTTTTCAGAGGTATGATATATCCCGCCTCTGTTTCAAGTCAACCACACGGCCCTTTAAAGGATCCCCAAACTGTATTCCTGCCACTTTTTAATTAACATTCATTAATCTGAACACTGACTCACATATTGGGCTCTTTGCCATTCAATACTGAGTCGCCAAATTCCTGGGAATGACTCATCCTTGGGGTGAAACAGTACAGCAAAAGACGAACGACGAAGAAAAGCATACGGTGTGCCAATATCATTTTAGTGATTTAGTATTAAGAGAGATTTTCTTAGCAATCCCTTCAGATCTTGTTTATCACTTTAAATGTAGGAAATGCCCTTAATCACCTTTTGGTTTTGGAATTTCATACGACAGTGCATGATCAGGCAATCAACACAGTCATTCCCATTTTAATGATGGATGGGAATGAAGCAGGAGAGTGCAGAGACAGCTAAGGGTATTGGCCACACAACATGGTCATCCCTGTGCTGCAGACTCAGCACATCTGGCAGACTGTATTGGCTTCGTTGCCTCAACTATACACTGGAAAAAGTGGACAGTGTGAGTGAGAGACCTACTGTGTTTCTGTGTTTCTTGAATTTGTATCCCTAACTTGCAGGGTCTGCGGCGCCCCAAGGCCTCACTGCTGTCTCAACATCACCAGGTCATGCAACGATAAGGTTCAAGGTTAGGGAATTCCCTTTGCACTCACACCTCATCCACAGTACATCACTTTAGAATGTTGTACTCCTACATAGTGTGTATAATCACCAGGTCAAGGTCCATACTAACATAACGAGATTGAAAGCAAGATCTGGGCAGTTCACAGTGCACTGAGGCATTTGGTGAAGACTATCTCAGGCAAATTGTGTGCAACACCTTGAATAGCCACAGTGGGTATCTGCAAGTCATAGATGGCAACAGTTCTGAGATAGAAGTAAACCAAGAGCTGAATTTCTGGTTCTGGTGGTAACCTTCATGCTAGTAACATCACCCCTGAAATCCGAGATTGCCTGGTGAGTCCTGGAGGGATGAAACGCAATCTGAGCCAAGTCGTTGCTGTTTCATTGCCTATGCTCCAGGTGCTAATTGATATACAGGTGTCATGCCGGACATATACAATACCAATCTTATCGCCACAACATATACATTCATATGATTATTGCGTAATAACCCAACCAGGTCATCAACCTATATAGTTGATCTAAGTATCCATCCAACTCCATACGCTCACCTTGGATGATCGAGCAGGTTTGGAGAGTTCTGCTATTCAATCAATGATCTGAGTTGAGATAGCAGGTTGAGTGTAGCTTTCCATCGAAAGCAGTTATATACGATATTATTATAGTTGAAAATGACACATTGTCAAGCCAAGACGAGAAAGGGCAACCGATCAGATTACAGATAGCTAGTTGCTATGTAGATTTGACCAATAGCAGACAAAAAGAAAAGCATAAGGATTACAAAGTGATTAAAGAGCGTATACAAAGAGACAGTTACCAGACAAACAACAGTCCATGCATTGATAATAAAGTGTATACAAATATGACAGTTGTCGTACAAAAAACCTTGGTGTGTACCACGAGAGTCTTGCTGTCGAAGCGCACGTTGCAGCTCCTGCGGGTGGTCACGAGGGGAACCAGTTCACCCACCATGACAGAAGCTATTAGTAGTTCGTCGTACAACCCAGGAGAAACCGTCAGCTGCCGAGCCCGATGTGACACAGGTATCCAGTCAGCTATGTGTGTATCACCAGTCATGTATCAACTTTAGGCCAAACGGCAAATAACAATGGTGGTGAGAGATGGAGCACTCTTTACCAGAATGTTGTGGCTTAGAGAGCGTTTTGTGGGTGATTGGACAGGCATGTATTCACTGCCATCTTACCAGGTGTGTTAAACCACCATTACTCTTCTAGTTCTTGACTCATGAACTGAAACAAAACTTTCTCGCTCCACATATACAGGCATACACAGAGACATAGACAGCAATAGCGACAACACACAAAGTGAAGGGTTGTTGGCCGCAGCCAGATGTGAACCGGATAACGAGTGAGGTATGGAAGCAAGGACAGAGAACAGAGTGTCTCAGATAGAATAGGTGGGCCAGTGGATAGCAGAAATAGGCCATGATGCAGAACCACTTGGGACCGTCAGATTAATTTTCCTGGACCGAGCCAGCCGGGGAAAAACCCTCGCACCGACGGACGCAGTTGTGAGGGAAAAAACCGGGTGTATATCCCCAATGGCGATTAGGCATCATGTAGGCATGGCAAGCAGGTCACGGCAAACAGTGATAAAAAGCAATGATAATATGCACAGAAATGAAGGGTGGGAGGGCAGGGACACTGGTGAGACTCAAAACTAACTGAAGAAGTCAGTAAAAGAAGCGACAATAAAGAACACACCAGATGCCGTATTTGCAACTGAAAATATTTCGCGAGAAATACAACTTTCCTTCTGTCACTGCTCTGCTGAGAATAATGCCAATTTGGTCTTTATATGACTCGTGTCCTGAAAACCTGCAGCCAATGCCACCTGCTCTTTCCCATGGTACTATAATTGGCTATCAGATTAGTTACGATGCTATTGGGTGTAACAAAGTAGAAGATTGTCAATGTCAACTCTACAACTGTTCTCTGCACGGATCTATTCGAGTTCATGAAAGTGAGTACATTGTCTATACATGATTGGACCCAGCTTAAATGCAATCATATTCCATGTTCTGTTCAGCTTGTTTGGCACCTCCATGCATGAAACTGATTCTCACTGTCTGGTCAAGTGAGCGGGAATGACGGCATCTCCCTCTTAGGGAGCAGCAAACACAAACTTTCTTGAAGTACTTCGCTTTGTTCATTCTATTATCGGGCTTCTTCTCTTCCCATCATTCTCTTTTTGCTTTCTTTCCTGCTTCCAAACTTTCTTCATTTGAATCATGTCTTTCTTCCCATCTCTCTCCCACTAAAGGATGGGTCAGCAACTCAATTTCACTATCTGGCTTGCGACATTTTACACGATACCAGATTACTGCTGCAGCCATTAATGGAGTGGGTCTTGGTGTTAAAGCAAAGAGAAGGCTCATAACTCAGAATCTAGGTATGTACAGAGTAATAAGCAGGGGATTAAAGAAAGGAAAATGAACAATTTTAAAACACGTCCATTTCCTTTCACAAACAGGCTATTTGCTGTACAAGATTAATGAATGAAAGATCGGACTCGGATGGAGAGCCAAGGATAAATTAATAGACTTGAAAAAAGGACCAAGGAACTACAAGTTACGCTATAATGTCCACTAACACCACCAGTTACTAGATAATCAGCTCATGAGATACCGTCAGTCAGTGTCGTGCAATGTTATCGCATGAGCTGATTGTCTAGTAACTGGTGGTGTTAGTGAACATTATAGCGTACCTTGTAGTTCTTTCGTCTTTTTTTCTTTTCCATGAAATAAGTTCGCCAATATTTCACCCATCGGGCGTCATCAGGGAATTGATAAGAATTTAGAGGCCAAACAAGAAATAATTATAACTACAGCCAGACAGCCAGATGAATATTCTATTTTTTTTTTTTTTTTTTTTTTTTTTTTTATTGGGAACACAGCCCTACAAAGAGACATGTGGAGACAAACACAAGACAAGACACAGGGGATGTAGGGACGACGTGCCGATGTACAGGGAGCAACTCGACCGACCAGGGGTCTCGGCGTTAGCGTTGCAACCTGGCATCGAAAAAAAAAAAAGGGGGGGGGGTGCATGGTCAGGTAGCAAAATAATAATTTAGTGCGAGAAAGGGGCGCTAGTATTGCACCAAATAATATAAATACGTGTAATGACTAAACCAGAAGGGAAAAGGAAGAAAGAGAACAATAATCATAACAAGCACGTACTAGTAGAGAGGTAAATACTAAATGGGTCTCAATATCATCGTCACAGGTACTGTGTGGACCACAGCCATCTCTTTCGGATTAGATCCTTACATACGTTGACCTTGAAGGTTTGGAGGCGTCTTGAATGAGGCTCGTGAAGCAGGAGGTCCGCAGGCAGGTTGTTCCAGGGTGTGATGGCGAAGAAGGGGAAGGATCGCAGGAGGTAGTCAGGGGCTGTGCGAGGGGGTGTCCACTTCAGCTGAAAGGCATGGTGCGTCTGACGTTTTTGCCGTGTGCACATGCTAGCTACGGCAGGGGGCTTGGTTGGTGGCAGCATGGCCTTTACCTGGGGAGGCCCTGGAATGTAGTGCAGCTTAAACAAGTATGACAGGGCTGCCACCATCCGGCGAAGCTGAAGACTTTGGAGGATGGTTCCAGGTCCCAGGAAGTGCAGGGCACGTTGCTGAACCTTGTCCAGCTGGGCCATGTTAGTTGCGGCTGCGCTCGACCAGGCCAGTGGGGCATATTCAAGTAGGGGTCGCACGAATCCCTTGTAGACCGTCACTCGACCATGGTCGTCCAGGATGGGTGCTGCCTTTCGTAGGAAACCCAGCCTTTGGGAGGCACGCAGTGCAACACTGCGAGTGTGCGCTCTGTAGGAGAGAGTAGGGTCGAGCATGACTCCCAGCAGCTTCAGGGTATCTGTCTCCTGGAGTGCTTCACCTCCAAAGGTGACTGGTGGAGTGCAGGGGGGAACGTGCTTGCGATGTAGAGTCATGCGCTGTGTCTTGGCTGGCTCAAAACAGATACGCCACTTGCGGCCCCACTCCTCAAGACTGTTGAGGGACCCTTGGAGGGAGGCAGTGGACTGTTGGAGATCGTCAGTTGGCTGTACTAGGCTGTAGAGTGTGGTGTCGTCTGCAAAGCTGCTCAGCTGCGTTCCTGGAGTTAAACATTGTTCAATGTCACAGGTGTATAGAAGGAAGAGGCTGGGTCCTAGGATGCTGCCTTGGGGGACACCAGCCTGGATGGGGTGAGCATCTGACGTCTGGCCTCCAACCACAACGCGGATGTTTCGGTTGGTGAGGTAGTCCTGTAGCCATACAAGCAGGCGTCCGTCGACGCCCGCCTGCTTTGCTTTGTACAGCACTCCTGTGTGCGATACCCGGTCAAACGCACCGGCAATATCCACGGCGAGGACCTGGACACAACCGCCAGTACTTATGGTGTGGACCCATTCATGTTGGAGAGCCGTTAAGATATCTGCGGTTCCTCTACCACGTCGGAATCCAAACTGGCTGTTTGGCAACACCTCATGCTTCTCTAGGTAGTTCACCAGTTGCGTGTTTACAATGCCCTCCATGACTTTCGACATGATCGTTAGCAGTGATATTGGTCGGTAGTTAGATGCCAAAGATCTGGAGGACCGTTTGTGAACCGGGACTACATGGGCAAGTTTCCATGCCCCAGGTTGCACACCGGCTAAGAAGCAGAGGGCGAAGAGCTTTGCCAGTGGGTCTGCAAGTTCAGATGAACACATCTTGAGCACACGAGCAGAGATGCCATCCGGTCCAGTTGCTTTTGATACAGCCAAGTTCGCCAAGTGCCGTTTGACCGTTGCTGCGCGGAAGTGAATGTGCTTTAGCGTGGCATAGGCAGGTCGTTGCAGGTCAGGCAGGTCAGCAGCACAGAGGTCGTTATTGCCAAGGCTACACTTGTTCGCAAAATGCGCTGCAAAGCACTCGGCTTTCTCACGAGAAGAGTGGAACTCTTGTCCTGCAGGGTTGGTCAGCAGAGGGATGTCAGAGCAACGTCCCTTGCCTGCTGCGCTCTTGATGGTTGACCACCACTCTTTGTCCCGGAGGGAACCTGCAGTAAGCTTGTTGCGAATTCTACGTTGATGTGCTAATCGCGCTGCATGACACGCTTCCACTTCGTGGTTAACAGTTGTGATGTACTGGACCTTGTGGTTGTCGTTGCGGGGATCGCGTCGCCACAGCTTCCATGCCCGCTCCTTCGCATGATTGGCGTTAGAACAGTCCGGTGTCCACCATACAGGGTTGGATTGGTGTACCACAAGCTCTTTAGATGGTATGAACTGTTTCATTCCATGCATGATGGCATCAGTTACGCGCTGACAGGACTGCTCCGCACACCCATGGATCTTGGCGGGCCAGTCTATGTTGCGGAGGTAGGCTCTCAGGCGGTGCCAGTCAGCAAGGGCGTATTTCCAAACCTGTCGAACAGCAGGATCTTCGCGTCGTGGATGCTGTTGGAGAAACTCGGCAATGATAACGGCATGATCAGATCGTCCAAGTGGTGCATAGGCTGTGGTGCATACGCTATCTATAACACACAAACATCATGTACACACAATTTGTAAGAAAATGTCACAGTATATCCTAGAAAATGCATGTAGTGTGGTAGTGCTGAACATGAAAAGTGTGAAAACATACAAGTGAACAATTAGAATTTCATGTCCACAAAGAACGAAATAGTTCTGTCCGCAGATGGAGTAATTTTTTTGACATGACGGATTTTCTTGATGCAGGTGCCCCGGGAGACCTGCTTCAGATTACACTCAATTATTTTCCTTTCGCTTTTCTCTTTCTCCAATCCAGCCCCAGGACCAGTAAGGAATTTGACAGCCATACCCATATCAAGCTCTGTACTACAGGCAAGATGGCAAGCACCAGAAACAACTTACGGTGAGTATTGTTTTCAAGAGCATGGTCTGTAGGTCTATAACCCCTGATGTATGGTGGATCGATATTCAAGAACACATCCACATTAGCATTAATACTTTCTCCGCGTCATTAAAATTGTCGTTTCCCAGAGCGATTCTTCGAATTAATTTTGTCCACTCGATGGGCAAAGAAATCAGCTAGAAATTAAGGCAGAGCATTGTCGACGGACCAAGATTTTGTTTGTGGCCTCCCGCTTCACTTCACTTGCAGCTAAGGTTGACGTCTTCATCAGAGTTTGAGGCAGACCCTTCAGCACTCAACACGCTGAACAAGACGCACATTCAAATTCAGGTCAAGAGACTTCGTTTTCAAGCGATCCATCCCTCCAGGTGCCAGGCGATGACGGCAAACTAGCATTTTTCAACTACACTGTAGCGACCTTCCAGCGGAATAGGATAAGCAGTCCCGCGCCTTCCTTCCTTGGCAAGCGCTTCGCTGATTTTGTTGGGGTTTTCAGACTTGCTACATTCGCAGCAACATGCGCCACAAGTAGCGCATTTTAGGAATTTGAGAACTCTTTGTTCTTGCCATCGTCAACTTCAGCATTTCGTATTCAGGAGAAATACCAGAATTCTTATACCCGAGCTTGCAGTCTTGATTAATGCCCAAGGAGCGATGTGGGACAGCACGAACTCCAGAAAAATGATAGGCGCTCTGGGGCGGATAAGTGCGGAGCGCGATGAAATTGCTTGGTGCGGAAGAGACCTCCGACAAAGTCCGAGACCACCACGGCTTCAGTAACAAGTACACATTGCGCAGGAAGGGTCGCACCAATGTTCGAACACAAAAAAACAGCGATTCCGACGGTCTGACTAAGACGAGCCAAGTCACAAACATTGCGATGTGCGAAACGACAATTTTAATGACGCGGAGGAAGTATTAAATTGTGTTATATTTTACAAATTAAACCATATAATGTTTGCACGTAATCCTTATTGATGATAATGGTGACGAATAGCTCGAGATTTGTAGTTTTTTATTTTCCTGATAAACTTCCCGTCTCCAAGAAAGTTATATACTCAGTCAACTTTAATATTGCCAATCTACTATTACAACTTTCTTCAACAGCATTCAGTATAACCTTATTTATAATTGCAAACAACTCATCAATTTTCATTCTCCTTCGTTTTTTTTGCTCCAGGTGGTAATCTATACTACGTAATTCAGTATAGTGTTCTCAGAGGAGATACTGAGGAGAGAGTGAGCAACGATATCAACATTGCAATGCCACTCTACACCATAACTGGACTAAAGGAGAGCAGAAGTGTCCTCATCACGGTGTTTGCTGTCAACTCGGTTGGTCCTGGACATCGTGTCACTTTAGGCACTACAACAGGTGCAGCCAGAGTACAACCTGATGTCACTGATAAACCAACTTATCAACCAATAACACCTGCTTTCTGCAAGTTGCCCAGTACACCAGGGTGGATTATGGCTGTTGCAAGTACACTCACCCCAGAAATTATCAATCTGATGAAACTGAACTTCTCAGCTAACATATCACTTAATGTCACATGCAGAGAAGGCCTGTATGTTTCTGGTAACTGGTCACAACGCCATCAACTGATCACATGCCAGAAAAGTGGAATGTGGACAAAAGAAATCTCCGCTTGCTCAGGTACACATGTTTGCTTGCCTATCCCTCACCATATATTACACATCACACAGAGGCAATGCGCTTTAACCTGCTAGAATACCCAATTTCTTTGATTAGCACAGTGCAGTACACAAGAGGTACACAAAGGGAAGTAGGGCTTTACATTTCTCTTTTTTGAAAGGACTGGGAGAACTTCAAATTCAATGGATCAGTCAGGGAAGCGAACTGCCTGAAAGAGAAAAAATGCCAACCCCGCTAGGACTCGAACCGGGACCTTGCCTATCATGAGTAATGCTCTCACCATCCGATATATGAGACCAGGCCGAACCTAGAAGGCGCTGAAACGTTGTTCATGCCAAAGGCAGCTCACAACAAGTGCCACACATACCGATGGTACTTGGGTCTTTTTCTTTCCCCAGGGGATCAAAATACGGTCAGTTTCTGGAACGCCCAGCCAGAGATGAAAGAAAGAAATTAAGGGGGAATTTCAAATTCAAAGGGTCAGTCGGGAAGTGAACTGAAATAGGAAAAATACCAACCCTAGCAGGACTCGAAAAGGGACCATGCTTGTGACGGCCAATGCTATAACCATTAGAGCTTTTAGGCAAGGCCCAACCTAGCTGGCGCTGAGAAGTTTTCACTCAAAAGCAGCTCACAGCTTTTAGTTTCGGCCTGGTCCCTTAGCTTAGATTGTTAGGCGCATTGCTCATGACGAGGAAGGTCCCGGGTTTGAGTCTTGGTGGGTTTGGCATTTTTTCTCTTTTCAGGCAGTCCCCTGGGGAGGGAAAATGACCTCAGTGCCATGAGTATGTGTGGCATGTGTCGTGAGCTACCTTTTGAGTAAAAACCTTTAAGAGAGCATATCTGAGAATACCAAAGTATTTGTGCAAGTGGATCTCTCCGATTTCGCTCAAAATTTGCTTGCAGGTAGGTTCCCTTTGGGGTGTGGATCGATTGTGCAAAGCCCTTGAAAAAGTTTCTGAAGGGAACCTTGAAATTTGCATACCCTCAAAAATGGCCGAAATATCACATTATTTATGGGTCTAGAAACGAGTCACGCCACAGCGTATACGAACAAGCTATCAACAAAACTCCGTCAAGCCAACATTGCCTCACCTTAGAAGAGTTCCTTGAGCAGTACCGCTTAGCCACGCCAGGATCCCAGAAGACGAGGTCCATCACCCCCTGACGCCACAAATGATCGTCTTGAAAATAGCCAATTTACAAGCTCTGGCAAAACAACCAGCTACGTCCTCAATTGGCCGGAACTATACACCGGCAGATAGTAGAACACGACAAGTTCGTGCAGCCAGTGCTGCTCACGTGCCAGTCAACACATAGCGACCGAGCTAGCAGCTTTTGTCGAGCATCGACATGAAAACAAGGGACTTTTACTGTTGGACTATGTTCCGGATTGCAAGAGGTAAGTGTGAAAGATCAATAACTCTCCATGCTGTGCGGGGGCATATTTCAACGGCTTGCTGCCATTGCAACACTCTAGGACAGTTTGTAGGGGTTTTCAGCAGATCAAGCAGGAAATACAGCTCATCTTACCTCTGCCATCATGGTCTGTTCCGAGTAGCGTTCCAGGCACGTTCGCGATCGATGGCCGCGTGCCGTGAAACAGGGAAAAACAAAGGTTAAATCCAAAGAAGTGCGACATATGACGCGTAAGTATTACAAAAAGTGAGTTGTTTTTCCCTTGATCACGTTAGTTCCGTATTTCCACTGATGATCGGAGCTTGAAAATCGATTTTAGAAACACACAAAACCAAACCTTGAACAAATTGTCATGCTGCGTGGTGATGTCTGCGGCATTCATACTTTTCATAACTATTATAATAATTTAACCCATTGACTGCTGAGCCCGAATATATTCGGGATTCAGGATGACGTCAGGGCGCTGAGCCCGAATATACTCGGGCTGACAGGCTATCCTACCGTACTAAGCTTCGTGTTCCAGCGTAGGGTTGCAAGAGACCCCAGAGTCGAGCGGTACATTTCCGGCATTCAGTACGAGAGGTTGCGGGTACGAATCCCGCTTGGATACTTTTTTTTCTTCTTTTTCGTCCGGTGATTCAACTCAAATTGCCGACTTTTTCGTATTTTACGCAATTTGGATGAACTTACGTGTCGTATAGCATCTTGTTCCCCTTTCTAGGAACTATATCGAGTTGGTCAGCGTGATGATTATAGCCTTGGTCAACATTTCACAAGAGTTCAACAACCTAGTTTCTTAGACTATGAAGTTGTGGAGCTGTACATTGGCCATATTTTTAGCATTTTCTTCAGAGTCTCAGATGAAAGGCCCTGTAGCCCTCAATGGGTTAAATAACCGACGAGGAGACAACAGTCGTAAAATAGCAATGAAAAATATCAATTGTGCACTCATAATCATGTATAAACAATTAAAATGAAACAATTCCAGAACGTTTTCGTGTGACCATCATCAGTTCACACTACACGCGTTATGCATAACCGCTAGCTGTGCTGCATTCTCACGCTTCTTTTCATGTTACTCTAGCTATATAACTGGTTGTTTTAGTGATTCTTACTATGTGACGATGTTCCACTGATGATGGTCACACGAAAACGTTCTGGAATTGTTTCATTTTAATTGTTTATACATGATTATGAGTGCACAATTGATATTTTTCATTGCTATATTATAATAATAATAATAATAATAATAATTGGTCAAGAGTGTACTTCAGGTCCTCTTCGTCTCCGTCTCGTCTCCGTCTCCGTCGCCATCGGGACGTGGAGAGTCGACGCCAGGAGGGTCGCTGCCCTCCTCGGGACGTGGAGAGTCGACGCCAGAGGGGTCGCTGCCCTCCTCGGGGGTGTCCTCCCCGTCGGCGCTGGCTGCGGCGACCCGAGCACGATAATAATAATATTATAGCCAGCTATGCCGCCATGCTGCACGTGCGGAAAGGCCTCGACCTGTTCAGGCTGCAAATGCGCCAAAGCTGGACGTCAGTGTACTAACTGCTCCGCCAATCGCCATGGAACGTGTCGTAACTCCTGTCGCTCAACGTCGTCACAGACGGCCGGCAGCGCTGCTGCCGCCTCTCATCTGGCTTTCTCTTCATCGTGCCCAGTACCCTCCGCCGTGAATACTCGAAATTCAAGAACTCGAAATTCGAATGTTCAAGGAGTATCTCAAATATCGGCCTCCTCTTCCTGCCACGATGGTCGCGGAAACCCTTCTACCACGTCCTCACAACCCAGCGGTGCTGCCGCGGAGACGTCTGTTTCATCCTCATGCCCCGCTGCGGCTTCTGGCTCAGGCACTCAAACTCCCCAGGTTCGAAACTCCCAAGAGAATTCTCAGCCGCCTTCCGGTGCGCACAGCACTGGGGATGCGCACGCTCTGGACTACTCTGCCATTTCATCCCAGGACATTGACCTGCTTGCGAACTTGGACGCCTCTCAGCCACCTGAGCGACTCCCTGACGCTGCACCAGCCCTAAACTGCCAGCCGTTCACCTGGGCTTCCGTCCCATCATCGCAGTTTGAGCAAGCCCTGGAGCACGCGAGAGAAGTTGTCGTCAACTGGCGCCGCAACATTTTTGCAATACCATCTGGAAAAGCAGGCTGTGCGTTCGTGGAGGAGCAGGCTCGTCTCCTGCAACTCCTGTCCCCTGACACACCTCAGGAACGCATTGCTCTGAAAGCTGCTATGGTGTTTCCGCCGCTTCTCCTGCAGAAACCTTTCCGGACATCAAAGGCTGCTGATCATGTCCGCTGCTTGCAGCGTCGACTCCAACAATGGAAAGATGGTGATATCACTTCCCTGCTCCACGAGGGTCGGCAGATCCAAGACCACCTACCATCTGGTCCTCTCCAGCGGTCTGATGACGCAGCGGTGAAAGGCTTTACCCGTCTCATGCTCGCGGGCAAAGTGAAAGCAGCAATTCGTTGCCTGCACACCTCAGGCAGGGGGAGGGGCGTCCTTCCCTTGCAGGCTGACTGCGGTGGTGGCCAGTCCACCATAGATATTCTGAAAGCCAAACACCCATCACCGGACTTGGATGGCCCCTCATCCGATGTACTGCTACAGGGTCCGTGCCGCCCAACGCATCCCGTGCTGTTCGAACCGGTGAATGCTGCATTTGTCCGGGCTACCTCTCTTTCCCTGTCTGGTGCGGCAGGGGTGTCTGGGCTGGATGCAGATGCCTGGCGGAGGATGTGTTGTTCATTTGGAAGATCTTCCACGGGCCTATGCAACGCTGTAGCCATGCTGACGAAGCGCCTCGCCACCTCTCCTGTCGACTCGGGTGCTTTGGCGCCGCTGCTGGCTGGGAGGCTTGTGCCCCTGGATAAGAATCCTGGTGTGCGCCCGATCGGCATTGGGGAGACCCTCCGTCGCCTCATTGCCAAGGTGGTCCTCCGCATCACGCGTCAGGACATTGTTGAGGCCGCGGGGGCACTTCAAACCTGTGCTGGGCAGGAGGGTGGGGCGGAGGCCGCTGCACATGCCCTGTGTCGCCACTTTGACAGCAGCAACACAGAGGGAGCACTCCTGGTCGATGCTACCAACGCGTTCAACTCCCTGAACCGTGCAGCTATGCTCCACAACATCCACCTACTATGTCCATCAATAGCAACAATTTCGAAAAACTTTTACCGCAGCACAGTACCTCTCCACGTCAGCGGTACGGTCATCTGGTCTGCTGAAGGCACCACGCAAGGCTGCCCACTAGCCATGCCCCTCTACGCTATTGCCATTACGCCACTCGTCACTACCCTCGCCACCGCCCTTATGGACGACTCTCCAGCTGGCACGGTGCATGACCGCGAATCGCCTGAGAGACCAGCCGGCGTCGGTGCGTCCGCTGCTCGACCGGACGCCTCGACCATCCAGCTATGGTATGCCGATGACGCGGGAGCCGCTGGCCTGCTGCGGCGCCTTCGCACCTGGTGGGACCAGATCTGTCAACTTGGCCCAGCATTCGGCTACTATCCAAACGCTGCCAAGACTTGGCTGGTTGTCAAGCCCGAGCATCTCAATACTGCCAACGCTGCATTCGCCGACACCGATGTCCACATCACCACTGAGGGCCGCCCCTACCTGGGTGCTCCTCTGGGCTCGGAAGCCTTCAAGACAACATTTTGCAATGCTCGAGTGGAGGCTTGGGCATCTGAGATGCGTGAGCTGGCGAACGTGGCCGAGGCCGAGCCCCAAGCCGTGTATGCCGCACTGGTCTTTGGGTACCGTCACCGCTGGACATTCCTGATGCGCGTGTCGAGCTGTGCACCAGACGTCTTCGAGCCTCTCGAGTCCTCTCTTCGCTCCGTCTTGTTGCCAGCTCTATTGGGTGTGCCAGTCGTCCCTGCCCCTCTACGCAGCCTTCTTGCTCTGCCTGTGCGTCATGGTGGCCTTGCAGTGCTCAATCCAGTTGAGGCTGCCCGCAACAGCGGACAGCATCTCTGTCCATCACGAGCAGTCTCCAGCAACTTATTGCGGACCAGTCCTCCCTCTACAGCGTAGACCCAGCAGCCATTTGCGCCGCCAAGGCTGCTGCCAAGCAAGCCCAGTCTGTGACAACCAAGACCGTCCTGCAGACAGCTGGTCCAGAGGCCCTACCACCAATGCTTCTGGAGCACCTCCAGGCCAAGGGAACAGGTGCATGGCTGACCTGTCTTCCTGTTCGCGAGCATGGATACTCCCTCGACCGGCGGCCCTTCGTTGATGCCCTATGCATTCGGTATGGCCTCACCATCCACGGTTCACCTACCGAGTGTCCATGCGGCCGGCCGTTCACCATCGACCACGCAATGATCTGCAAGTTGGGCGGCTATCCCATCCACCGGCACAACCATGTACGCAACTACCTGGGCCAACTTCTTTCTCAAGTGTCTGAGGATGTGCAGCTGGAGCCACCGCTGCAACCTCTACCGACGGTCCGCACGTTTGACCATGGTCCTGCCCTGCTCACTGCGGACGACGCCAGACCGGACATCAAGGCCAGGGGTTTTTGGTCGGTACAGACTGATGCATTTTTTGATGTAAGGGTGTTCTATCCCAACGCACAGTCGTACCGATCTCGCCCGCTGGCTGAGGTGTTCCAATGGCACGAGCGTCAGAAGCAGTCGGCATACGGTGCCCGGATCCGGGAAGTTGAGCACGCGTCGTTCACCCCGATCGTCCTGTCTTCTGCTGGTGCCCTGGCGAAGGAGGCCACCCGGTTCCTGAAGCTGCTCGGAACGAAGCTCTCCACCAAGCTCTCGCAGCCTTATCCCCTCGTGATGGGAAAGCTGCGGACGGACCTGGCTTTCAGCCTTGTCCGCGACTCCGTCCTGATGGTTCGTGGGAGTCGCCGTGCATTCCGTGCACCTGGTCTGGCGGCGGATGCGGATGCTGTTTCTGTGGAGGCCCGCATTCCCGCCACTACGTGACGCTAAGTCCTCCTGGGGTTTGCCGCTCTCCGGTCCTCTTTCATCCCGTTCTCCCCTCTTTTTTGGGGATTCTTTGTACTTCGTCTTTCTTGTTTTTCTTGTTCCTTTGTTTTTTGTAGGACAGATTTTTGGTGTACTGATTTCGGTTGTTGTTGTGTCTGACTCTATTCCCAATATCTAATTCTGTGGTTGGTTTTCCAACTCATTGGGTTGTAGCTTCCATCATGAGTTTGATTCCATCGTGAGTTTGATTCCATCGTGAGTTTTGATTCTATTTGCTATTTTTCGTTCCATTTTTGAGCTCATATTTTATTTCCTGATTTCTTCTCCAGTGTATGTTGTATTGCATTTTAATACATTGTGTTAATTTTTGCCCGTAAAAGAGGCTTGCACTTCATAAAAAAAAAAAAAAATAATAATAATAATAATAATAATAATAATAATAATAATAATAATAATAATAATAATTTGAAACTCGGGTATTGAGCCAATAATAAAAGTAGAAAGGAAAAGGACATTATGGAAACGAGTTAAGAGTAACTCTCCACCACTGTAACTAGATACTATATACAGTCAGAAAGTGCAACAACTAGGCACAAAACTGACAGAGTACTGAGACATGCTACAGAGATGTGTTGAAGCTAGGTGTCAGGACGTCGAATGTCTCACTACTCTATCAGTTTTGTGCCTAGTTGTTGCACTTTCTGACTGTATATAGTATCTAGTTACAGTGGTGGAGAGTTACTCTTAACTCGTTTCCATATGTCCTTTTCCTTTCTACTTTTAATAATAATAATAATAATATGCTCAATCTGCGTACAGCATGCTGTTTCGTTCTTTGTGAACTCATCAGCGCAGCAAACAAGAAATGAGGCCGAACCTGAAAGCAATGAAAATAAAAATTTCCAATCAGGCCCGAACGTACCCTGCCAGAGTGCTCAAACTGACAAGTCAGTGAGCTCTGCGTAATGCAAACAGCAAAGTCACTATCCCACATGAGAGTGCTCAACTACTACAAGAGCAGGAGCGAAAATACTCAATCTGCGGACAGCATGCTGTTTCGTTCTTTGTGAACGCATCAGAGCAGCACAGAGGAAATGAGGCCAAACCTGATAGCAATGACAATAAAAATTTCCAATCAGGCCCGAACGTACCTTGCCAGAGTGCTCAAACTGACAAATCAGTGAGCTCTGCGTAATGCAAACAGCAAATAATAATAATAATAATAATATGACATATTCTGCCATTTGAATCCTGAACAGTGCTTGTTAATGTCACTGAAGATCTATACTTACCAGAATGTTTTTTTATGTTATGCGTTGCAGCACCAGTTGATACTGTGGTTGGGGACAGTCATAGCCAAAGCAGAGTGGATATTTCAGTTGCAGTATCTATCCTAAGAGGTATTTTCTTCGCTGCCAGTGTTGCCCTGAACCTCATCCTCCTTTTCAAGGTCTACAATAAGCAATGATGTAAGCCATCTTCAACTTTGCTGTTCGGACTGTGTCGTGCTCACTTATTTCCATAATTTAGTGCACCGAAAAAGAAAAGGGGTGGCTCTGATCTTGTGTGACTGGCTCCGAAACATCACAATTTTCAACATCAATGATAAAAGAGTGTTTAATGCAACGCAGATTGTTAATAGCAACTGCATAGAGCGGTGGTCAGTTGACAAACCCCTGTTTCTTGCCATAACACATAATTATTATGTGGAATCCTAATGATTTGAATATGGCTTGATTCGAACCTACCGCTTAATTAGAAGTTTCCTCCAATACGATTCCCACATAACAACATCATTCTGATCAATTTGTTATGTTCTCGTGTTTCTATTCTATCTGTAGAATTGTCCTGGTCCACATTTCTCCAAAAAGGAAATTCAATTCTTCTCTCTGAAGACAAGACTCATCTCTAGGTGCAGACAATGGAACAAGGTTATCCAATGTCATCCCGAAAAACACCTAATGATCCCTGCCATCATAGCCATTCCAATGGGGCTATTGCCGAAGGCATACCATTTGCACAACATACACACCACACCATGGTCAGAGAAGGAAGTCAATAGCACATTGTAGAACTCACTGAACAATGTACACCGCACATTCGTGTATATCTGTCTATACACATTTACCATACACATTATTTTTTATGTATATCTATCCATACTCATTCATCTATCTCTATCTACACACATCTCACGCTTTGTTTCCTATTCCTGCTCTCAACCCTGTTAAAAATACTGTCCACTTGACGAAATCCCCTCTACATGTATTCCATTCCTATTATAAATGACTTAAGCTATCCAGTCTAGCCCATCATTGCTACGGCACGTCTCGCGGTTTTGTCAAGTTGTTTCTAATGAACGGTTGCGTTTTCCTGCAGCATACACGAAAGTCTAGCTATACAGTGTACACTCTAATTACCGATCCTATCACTTAATGGCTGAGCTTTGTTTTCCTCCCTGTTCATTTCTCTCTCTCTCTCTCTCTCTCTCTCTCTCTCTCTCTTCTCTCTCTCTCTCTCTCTCTCTCTCTCTCTCTCTCTCTCTCTCTCTCTCTCTCTCTCTCTCTCTCTCTCTCTCTCTCTCTCTCTCTCTCTCTCTCTCCCAGCCCCCCCCCATTTTTTCTCTTTTTTGATCGTTTTCTGGCTATTGCAGCTTGTTCTGCCCTGGGGAACAAATCAGCTACCGGTATGTCCCCAATACCGGATTTACTTTCAGAATCGGAAGAACAAGATGCATCGTCTTCTAGGGACGCCAGGGTTGTCTTTTCAAAAGGGGAGAAAAATCCACGTCTCAGAAGGTGCAGATTTCGACCAATTAGGATATCAAAAATAGTTCTTCAATGTAGTTACATGCATCTGCGCAATCCATACCGGTCCAAATGAACACTAGGAAATTTTATAACCGAACATTTTCGTTCCCTTCTCTTCATGGGACCTTAAAATAAAGCAAAAAAATGACTAAGACAGCAATTATATGGGTAAAGATTTGAGAAAGATATATACATCACGCTACAAGTGTGGAAAGTCAGCAAGTTGTTTCCTCTGGTGTAGGGAAGGCCTCTTTTACGGGCAAATCACAGCACAATCATCACCATGTATCAGTACAGTGAATAGTTAAACCCAACACGAATGAAAAATGAGAAATGGAATAAAACAAAATTTGTAAAAAATAAATAACGGACGAGGAGACAACAGTCGTAAAATAGCAATGAAAAATATCAATTGTGCACTCATAACCATGTATAAACAATTAAAATGAAACAGTTCCAGAACGTGTTCGTGTGACTATCATCAGTGGAACATCGTCACATAATAAGAATCACTCAAACAACCAGCTATATAGCTAGAATATGAAAAGAAGCGTGAGAATGCAGCACAGCTAGCGGTTATGCATAACACACTACACGCGTTATAACGATGTTCCACTGATGATGCCTTGATGGTCACACGAAAACGTTCTGGAACTGTTTCATTTTAATTGTTTATACATGAGCGGCTATTTTGACAAGGGCAACAAAGCACCTCGTGGACGGCCAAGGTTGACACTGGCCACAAGTCTGGTTGCTCAGCTGAATAAGCTGGGTGTGCCAATGAAGACCATGGAAGACCTTTCCAGGTGCCGACAACAAGCAGCAGACAAGACAGACTGGAGGAAACTGTGCAGCTCGACACCCGGCGAGAAATCGGTATCAGCAGCTACTACACCTAGCTGATGATGCTCACAAGACAGAAGCGGAAAAAACACTGAATTTCTTTATTTAGTGCTCTACTACGCGAAATGTGCTATTAACGTTATTATTATTATTATTATTATTATTATACATGGTTATGAGTGCACAATTGATATTTTTCATTGCTGTAAAAATAAATAAATAAAAAATTCAATATGGAACCCTAATAAAATAAAATTAATTTAAAAAAAATATACAAATAACCTACGTGGAGATAATAATTTTAATATAGCTATGAATAGGATGAAGGCCGCAGACATCACGCAACTACGTTACTTGTTTGACATGTATTACTAGTAGTTGCGTGATGTCTGCGGCCTTCATCCTATTCATAGCTATATGTAAAAAAATAAAAATAAAAACAATATCGAACACGAAACTATCTACTCAACCAATTCATAATGCAATAACCGCACACTGTGTCAGTGATGGAACTCCACTAACTGATCAACATGCAGAGACCACTCAATCACATGCTTAGAAGCCGCTCTCCACAATGGCCAACTCCCTCATCGCATTAACTGGACAGGCAGTTGTTTCCTCTTCTTTCCTCTTGATATGATTGTTCGAAGTGTTAGTATTATATTTTTGATTTTCATACTGTTTTTTGACTTGCTGACTTTTCACACTTGTAGTTTCCTGTTCATCTCTCCTTATAATTTTTTTGCGCATGTCAATTTTGGCCGCAAATCATGAAGCCAAAGTCAAGAATGAAGCAAACCACCGATTCATTCATGCACTCAGTGCTGGAATCGGAGTTCTCTGCACTTCGTGAGGTATGCCCGCACTGATTCCGCACTCTCGTCCTCGTAGACGAATGCTTGGTAGCCTGTAGTGCAGGGTCATCGAATAGAAGCGAAGCCAGCTCCAGTCGCACGGCGTTTCAAGTACATGATTGTAATGAGTGAGACTGTGAGTGGATCTCCGCGTCACGAAACGCAACATGCATCACGATGTCCAGTTTGCCGAAATGAAATGCGCTTGTCCAGGCAACGCGCAAGTCACTCAGTTCCGTTTCTCTGTAATTCCGGCTAGCTGTCATCTCGACCCTAGCTCAAACTATATACGCGGACTATGCAACAACGGCCGCCAGCTGAAGGAGGAGGTTGTCACCCGCATATTGATAATGCCAACATCTGAGCAGTCAACTCCCTGTCTAGAGGATACGAACGGGATTATGTTGGTAAGAAAAACCCTAACTACTTAGAAGCTGCGGCGAACTTGGTAATTTGAAAATGATTTGAAACATTCCGCCAATCCACACTGTGCTCTTGGCCCACATTCACAAAACCATAGCGAGGAATTTCGTTCTTGGTGTGCTATAGCATATCCTCCAGACACCTGTTTCGCTCATTGAGAGCTCTTCAGTGGGGGCAGATAACGAATGGATAGTGGATAAAGGAATATTTATAAATATTTATAGAGAAGTACTGCAGCTTTGCTCTGTCTACCTAAAAGTTTGGCATACCTACAAAAGGTCATGGTATTCAAATTTCTAAAAATATGTCAGTACTTGGTATTTCCTATGGCTCTCGCACTAAACTGCGGGAAAAACGGATTCACAGAATGTGCCAAATGCCATAATATTTGTTCTTTCATCATGATTATGTTAGCGACACACCCTAATCTGTGATGGAGTACCTGACTTCAGTTGGGGAGGGAAAGGCAGTGAGGGGGAGTAGCTGACCATTCTTTCTGCTCTGTCCAATGTTTTGAAACGAGAGGTCTAACACTGCCTCAGTAAAACGGTCAGAATTGACTTGGCCTTAGTATGGGCTACCATACTTACAACGAACAGGATATGGATGGAGCTAAGATGTTGCGCCATCGGCAGTAATTAGTGAAGAAAGTGTTTGCTCCATACGCTGGAGCTAGCGCTTCCTGCCGACTGACTTGACACTTGATTGACCTACGACTGAGCCAGGAGCACACGAGAAGCCCTTTAAACTTTCCACTCGGCAAACCTGCAAGAAAGCACCACTCCCTGCTCGATCAATATTGTTTCGGGGAATTCACACCTCATCAGTTGAGCTTCTGTATGTTGAGCAGGGAGTGGTGCTTTCTTGCAGGTTTGCCCAGTGGAAAGTTCGACGGGCTTCTCATGAGCTCCAGAAAAAGTCGTGAATCAGTAATCCATAGATATGGAATGTTCAAGCAACAAACTGCATAATAACAACAAAAATACGTGAGCACGATGATATTATTATCATGAATGAAAAATATTGTATTCAGTTCTCGTGAGACTTTCATCAGAGAAAAATCGTCTCAGCAATGATGACAACTAAGGAGAACATTGAAAATATGTAACGTTTGTTGGTGCGTGCGCGAGCGCGCATGTGTGTGTGTGTGTGTGTGTGTGTGTGTGTGTGTGTGTGTGTGTGTGTGTGTGTGTTCATGATCAATGAGGGGTTTCCAACTGCACAGCTGTGCGAAATATAGCAGAACTCCTGTTGGCCGCTAACCTGCGGAGTGTGCTGTGTACCGTACTGAACCGACCTATCGGTCGGCCCCTCGTATGAGGGGACGTATGACCATCTTACGGCAATGTTCAGGACAGGACAGATGTGTCCATGTCTATATGCATGTTTTTCTGTGTGTCTACATGTATGTGAGCGCATGTGTTGGGTATGTGGTATGTGTGCATATCTGTATACTTCTCGTGCAGTACACAACATTAATCAAAGGTCAACATTTTGCCCAACATATCTTCTCAGTGTTGATCTTGCTGGGAATGATATTGGCAGTGCAGAGCCAGCATGAAAGTAAGTACATGATTGCAAATGTTTAAATAGAGACTTAGTCGGAGGGAAACATATCAGCACACGAAGAGACGAAGCTAGTTGAAAATCTGATGAGGCCTTTCGTACCATTACCCTTCAAAATCAGTACATGGTGATAATGTGACGAAGCACAACGATGTCAATTTACACAGCATATTGGCGGAAAAATTGTGATGAAACGTACACAGGCTGAATGATAGCGTGAGTTGCGCCAAAGAGTACACGCACTATAACAAGGAGGTGGGAAGTCAAAATAGCACTAGCTTCCTAACAAACTCCTTCTGTCTACACAGCTCAGGCTGTAGCTTGGCAATGTAAACAGCCTCTAGCACATCTAGGTGACATTTGCTTCGCGCTCGTACGTGAATCCTCAAGTGCTCTGGAACATTCTTACATACTACGTACTGTTGTGTGAATCACGCTGGTTGGGTTCACACTTGCTAGTACTCGGGATAGGGGTAGTCTGCGCTACCTGATCCGAAGGGCTCCTGGTCGGTGTCCGTGCAACTTGGCATTGTTGTAGTAGCCGAGCACTGCGGCGAGCGCTGGTTGTTGTCTGCACCTTCTTGGAGCCGACACGCTGTATGATGGTTGAAGCGGTGATAGTTGGCTTTGTCAGGACTGTTGCCAGTGCCTTCTGTTTGGGCGGTCTTCCTCTCCAGGGTAAGACGTATTTTTGAAGTAGTCGACACCTGGTGTCTAGACCATTCCTATTATCATGTATTACAGTCTATGCACAATTGAGTCACCGTGTATACATCGGTATGCTGTGCTTAGTAAAATTCTAGCCTGGTCGTTCTTCAGCACCCTACAGCACTGCACCTTATTTTACAGAGTGTAAGCAGCACTTGAGCCGCAACCAGATGTTTTGTCCCAATATCCAGACATCTACAGTACAGTCCATTCAGAAAAAGATGGATTTCTAGCATTTGGCCATAAAATGGGTCAAACTGTGAGTTTTTTTAGAATTTTTTTCTGCAATCTCCTGTGGAATCCTCTTCCAATAATGTTTCTGAAGTTTTTGTCCAAAAGCAAGCCATAACAAGAATAGGATTTCGGCCCGGTGTTGCCCTAAAAGCACTGAATTGGGAAAAACCATAAAAATTCAGGTCGTTTGACCCCGCCTACAACAGTGCATTGTGTGGCTTTTGGGCCCTTTTTCAAATTTCAAATTTCACAGCACTGCACTGTGTACGATGAAATCACGAAAAATCGCCAAATAAGGGAGCTCGCCAGAGCCAGGACCCATCTTTTTTATAAATGGACTGTAGCCTGTGTATCACTGTCAATTTGACCATCGTAGTATAAACAACACCAACTCTTGTTGGTGGAATTATTGGTCTTTAAAGTGAGGCCTATGCTTGAAAACAATACGGTACACTTGTTTTCAAAGCTCAGTTGCTAGGCAACAGCAAAATCGCTTTCCCTTTTTCTTTTCACAACGTGTTTGTCACCTAGTGGTTTTCAATGCTGTGACTCGTCAAATTTATTTTTCTTCACGTCACTTCAACACATAATCCCGGTGCAGTATCTCTCAAGTTCTTATCTTTGTAGTGACAGTCTCTTTGTTTTTTTCCATCATTCCTTGTAGTATTTTGGGAAGAAGGCAACGAAAACATTCAATACTTATGACACATGTCCCAAATAGCTGGTGGTGCATTTTAGTGTAGATGCATACGTAGACAATACATTTTTGTAATGATTGAAACAAAATTAAATTGCAAGAAAGGGCCGATGGCCGGCGGGGGCATTCAGTCGGGGGCTTCTTCTGATTCCTAGCTTGTTGGAACTTTTCCAAAGTTTCTATGACGACATGCACTCATGTGCAAGGCCACACAACATGCCGTGTGGTCGTTCGTTCCTGACACTTTAGAGAAACAGAGGGTTCATAACACAGTTATTTGATTCAGCACTGCCCATTAAAGTCTAAGATTGCCTGTAGCAGCACTGAACTTTTCTTTGTAGTATAGAGAATGTAGCATTCGATGCATTTTATTTTTCATCATTCCTATTATTGAAGGTCCCCGGTTCGAGTCCTGGTGGTGACAGTCAATTTTTTCTTCGGACTTTCCAGTTTGCATCTTTCACTCTAACCAGTGAATACCCTATTATTGTCCTTCACATTACATTTCCATCATAGTTATTTCCTTGTCCATCACCACTTTCTCTAGAATGTGTTCGTAACATCTCAATAAAACCTTCGTAAAATGCCGCTTCAGCTGGTTCTCTTTATTGCAATCATTAAACTGTTTTCACTTTGAAGCCTTTCCAAACAAAGCAATGAACAATACAATTATTATTATTGTTATTACGAACACACTCATGGCCAAGGCCAATCAAGGAGGAGGTGAGGGCGATTAGCCAGCCATGGCAAAACAAAAAACAAAAAAAGACAACAATAAAAAAAGAGATTGAGCTGCAAATCAAGTTGTATTATTAGGTTTACGGGAAATGGTCGGAGAGATCATGAACAAAGGTAGACATGTTTTCACATGATTTCAGTTTCTGGGGAAACGAGTCCCAGAGACCAATAGAGAAGTAAAGTTTCACGTAAAATTTGACGTGTTTTACGTGAGTTGACTGTCCCGCACGTAAGTTCATGACGTGGGTTTTTGGAAGTTTCGCTTGGTTATCCCGATCTAATTTGTGTGAGTTTCCGGAGTTTTATCGAGTTTTTTGGAAGATTTAATATTTGTGCGAACTAAACCCGAATCCTGCCAAGCAAAAATTCGCGTCACGTCGCACGTGTAACTTAACCTCTAAAAAGTTACACATAACGTGAGATTTGCACCGCGTTTTGAAAAAAGGCAAAAACGTGTAACTTAACCTCTCTATAAGCTAATGAAAATAGGCGAGCGACTCATTGAGTTATTTCTTGAAATAGGGAATCTTAGTGAATTACGACTTGACGAAGAAGAGTTAAACCAGTTAAGCACAGTTTGAATATGCATTGGGGCCTTCAGCAGTTTTATCTGATGGATAAATCTACAGCAGAGTCTGTTAATTATGGTTTGTAAAGGACAGGTTTTGCATTGGGAATACAGAATTGTTGATGTGGTGTCAAGTGGGCAGCGAAATATCGCTCTCAAAATCCTGTGATGCATTAGTTCAAGCCGCGTAAGCATTCCTGCTTCAGCACTGCACTACACAATGCTACAGTATAAAATGATGGGTAAGATATAGGAGGCGTAGAAAGCCCGACGACATACTAGTTGTAAATGGCCCATGGGACTGTATAGAACACCAACAGCCGAACCTGTCCGGCGCTCGAGATACTCCAGATGGTGGGACCAACTCATCCCTGAGTCAAGGATGGCTCCAAGGTGTTTGTGGTGGCTTACAATTGGGATGGGCGTCCGGTCGTCAGGGAAGTGGAATAGGTACTGATCGATGTAGGAAAGATCAGAGCACGGATGAGGTGGAATGCACAATATGACAGTCTTTCCAGCATCAGGTCGAAGTTTTGCTGGTAGGAGTTGTTCTAATGTCTGTGAAGAAGGAGGTGCTATCAGCGTCAGCAATGGATGGGATAGTCCACTCTGGATTGTTCGAGGTGCCAAATGCTACGAACTGCTCGTTGAAAACATTTGCAATGTCAGTAGGTGACGTAAACGTTTCATTCTGAACAGTTAGTTGCGTTGTGGACTGTCGCTGGTTGGGTGGTGAACGTACTGATCGGATAAAGGTGTGTAGCGTTGGACGTGATGTTGGCGCTGTGGCCTGTGAGTACAGTGTAAGGGAGTTAGCGTGAGGACGGTGCTCTGAGCGGGAGAGATTGTGGGTGTTGTTCCGTTCTGTCTTGTATCTGGCCTGATTTGCGGGTGTTGGGAATTTTTTTGTACAGACTGAATGCATCACGCTTGCGTTTGATCTGAGCTCGCAGGGCTGCTGTCAGCCAGGGAGGTTGGGAAAGTTGTGGGTGATTAGATGTCTGGCGGATGCGGCGCATAGGAACGTACGACGATATTGTGTTCATCAGTATATGGTTGAGTAAATCCACTGAATGGGATGGGTTACCAAGAGGAATCTGGAGCTCGCTGAACCAATCGATAGTCGATAAGCACTGGCCAACGAGAGACCACTCTTCGCAGGCTCGGAGGGATGTATCGAAGGAAAATAAAGTTGAACTGACTTTGTTCGTCAGGGATGGCAACAATTTGTGTGTCTCGCTGACCTTGCATTTGGAGTCTGGCGAGGACAATGTCGTGGTCGGAGGTACCCAGCGGTGCGGCGGTTGAGAGGTTCGAAAGAAGTAGTGCGTTGTTGGATAACCAGGTCTAACACACTGGAATGACCACTGTGTTGGAGTAATGTGTGGGAAAGATAACGAGCTGTGATAGGGAGAGCATTTGATGCCCAAGACAATGCCCAAGGCGCAGAGCTCGGACCCGGCCTCCGCTACTAGCTCTGAGCTTTCGACTTCCGACGTAATGGCTCAACTGTTGACGACTCTGCAGCAACCACAGCAAGCCCATGAACTAAACACCGCCGCGCAGTCTGCCTCCACTGCGCATCTTCTGCAGCAGATCACGGCAACGGTCTCGGGCCTGGTTCAAGCCGCACCAGCGCAGGCTCCGGCGCGCACGCCGCCGCTGCCGAATTTTCGTTCCCTGAACGATTCAGACGATGCTGACGCCTGGTTCACCATGGCCGACCGTGTCCTCACTGGTCATAGTATCGCACCCGATCGCTTCGCGCTAGCCATAGCTCCTCACCTCACTGGCAAGGCTTTGGCAGCATACAACGCGATGTCAGCAAATGACACCACGGACTTTGCTCTCGTCCGTACTGCCGTGCTTCGCCGGTTCCATGTCGATGCGAAGCACTATAGGAAAAAGTTTCGTTCCGACACTCTAGGTGAGAGTACCTCGTACGTGGATCTGGGTACGCGTCTGACCGATATTTTCAATAAATGGATGGCTGCTGAGAATGCTGGCGATGTCGCTGCTGTACGCGACGTTCTGGTACGAGAGCAGCTCATC